GGAATCCAGAACGGACCAAGTCAAATGTGTGCATTAAATGTCAATAACCATAACTTAATTCGTTTGGACTTTCATTTGGTTTTCGGTTTTCGGTTTGAGTTTGGTGTGTCTGGTTTGTCTTTCACATCGTTCGTTGCCATTGTTTGCTTTTGAAACAAAGGTCAACTTACGATGGCCACTTCGCCCCCTTGGACACACTGATTGGGGCTGGAGGGAGGTATCGGAGGTCTGAAATCGAATAGGACTGGCTACTGCAAAAATATTGACTCAATGCAGCATTTTTGCAGGGGGCTCAGGGAGTGCACCATAAATCACAGTGATGGCCAGATTTGGTCAGTGGCCCAATATTGGTTTAGGTCGCCCGGGGAACATTTTAAACTAATTGTCAGCCAGGAAAGATCAATAGGGATGCTTTGCCTCCAAGTAAGGAAGCAAGTTCATCCGGGGACGACATATGTTGAATTGAAAAATTTATTGGCCATAATAGCAGAAACAACTTGAATAAAAGTTAAAATATATAGTGAATGCTATCACTTAAATACTTGAAAAAATATAAATCAAAAATAGGTATACACCTAATACCTAGTTAGTAATCGCTTTTATATACCTTTATTAATTATTTATTTATTTTAATATGAACATTTATTTCAAACGTTGTTGTATAAAAGAATCTTCGTCTTAAAACGCCATTCCTTTAAGTTTCTTCCCGAAACCTTTTTTTTTAGAGTCATAAAATTCTTCCGAACTCTCATTCTATTTTTACAACCCTCACATCGCACATCAAATTCACTTTCCACATCCCGCAGCTTACACTACTGGCCATCAGGTAAATGGAATACGTCTCAAATCGAAATTCTTTGGGGATTTGGCATCAGCTCAGGACCGAAACTATCTTTCATACCAATAAAAACGAGACCATTCAGCACACAGGAAAAATGAAATACCCTGGTGACTGACGCAGAGCACACACAGCTATAATTTACATATTTTTTTTGTCAAAAACAAAAAGTGGAAATGAAAAGGAGCAAAGAGCGCGTTGAAGATAGCAAAAAGCAACCCAAAAGTAAACAGAAGTTTTTTGCGGGGCAGCGGATGGGGATGCCACTTTTTGTGCGGCCCAGAAAGGTTTGTTGAAATTGAAAACGGCGTTGATTATAATGTCAATACTCATAAAAATAACAGAGAAACAACAAAAAGCAGCTCGCAAGAAAAAAAAGAATAACTTTAAACTTGTGACACACAGCGAAGTACGATACAGCTAATGGCGAGGGGATGCGCCGCAGGGCGGAAACAGGGGCGGGGGCGTGTCTGATTGGTCCGCTCATGGGTGCGGTCCAAAACATTTGGCTTGCTTTACCCCTTTTATTATTGTTGGGCTCTTATTTATTTGGCGGTCAGTGTTTTGGCTTTTTTTTCACTTTGGTCATTTTTTTCTTTTTGCTTTATAATCGCCGTGTCTTTTTGGAGTAAAAAAATCAAAATGTATGTTTCATGTTCTCCATTGGCACATTGGCACATTCGTGGACATTACTAATGCTCTGTGGCTATTGGGGAATTTCAGCTTAATTTGAAAATCAAGAATGTTAAACTAAAAGCTCTACATTCCGTTTTAGTTATTATCGTACTGTAAGTATTTTGTTTTAAATTGTAAATGCTCAACCCGTTAAAAGTTGTATAATTATTATCCATTAAAACTATATTTTAATTAGGTACATACATATGTAAAATTATAAAAAAGGGTATAAAAAAAAATTTAATTGTCAGCCAGACAAATGAAAAGTTATTTTTAGAAATATTGCAGAACATTTTTTTGGGTTACCTAATTTGCTTGAAAATTAAATATAATAATGCAGAACAGTTTATATTTTAACAATATTTAATTTTAAAAATGGATGTATTTGTAAGTCATGATCACTTTTTTTTAGTTCGAACTCACTCTTAGCATTCTGTGCGCATCCACTTCAAAAATCAGTTTATTTTTAAAGAGTATCCCACCCCTCGCAGTTGTCTAATATACATTTGATATCTTGTTGCTGTTTTGTCCTTTGGCTACCTGCCTGATCTGCTCACCTTACCACCCCGGTAATCCTCCTTGCCATCGCCTCGATGTCACCCCTCGACTTTAATGCGCTTTGGCATGCTTTTAGGCAATAATTCATGGATTAACGCCATTTGGCTTAAGCTCGTTTCTTTGGCTGCTTTTAGCGCAGAGTTTTTGATATTTGGAGCCTCGCCTTCACCTTTTTGGTGCCATCGCCACTCGGGACTCGCATTCCTCGGACGTGACTAATAAACCTCTGTCCCCATCTCCTTTTGCCGACTCTAATGATCTTGCTCATTTTTGGCCACAGACCGAATTTCGTGTATAGCGATTTGTTGACCACAACAAATTGCATTCGCCTATAGCCCCATAAATAACTTTTGCAAATGTCCTCACCGCCGACCGGTTTACATACGTATATGTCCTTGTACCTGACTGAGTGACTGACTCCCAGGACTCCTGACTGTGAGCACGTGCTAAGTGCCGGAGGAGCCATTAATCAATCCGTGGGGCGGGACGTATTGGTCTGCCTTGATTTATGCTTTAGCATATTATTTTTGATTTTAGAATTTCTTTAAATGCGGTCCTTCCTTTGCTGATTGTAAGCGAATTTTATGTGGCATCTTGTATCCTTTATCGTTGCGCCTCATGCGAAAGCCTTTCAGACGAAATTCAATCGGCCTGGAAGGGATCCTCTTCTGTATCCTGTTCCCCACTTGCTTGTGCCACTTATATTCCCAGGCGGCGAAACATTTTGCGCTCGCTTTGTTTCTGCCAAGGCATGCAAAATTTTTCGGATGGCAGAAGGCTGAGTTTAAGGAAAAACCCGAAGGGAAAATGGGTAGGCGAACAAGAAGGTACTAGAGAGGGGTTGAGATATGGAGATATAGAAAGCAAAAATGAAAGACTAGTCAAATGGATGAAAGTTTTAAACATGTCTGCATATTAAAGGACTTAATTAATTTTAATAAATTATTCACTATGTATTAAATAATACAGATCCGTATAATACATTTACAAAAGTTGAAAACCTCCAATAAAGTATTATTTAAGCAGACCAAATAATAGTGTACTATACAATAAAACTTAAGTCTCATTTAGCTAGTGCCGCAACGCATCTGAAAGGATTTCTTTTAAAATTAAAAAATATCTCCACAAAGTTGTAATGCTGGGGAATTCTAAGCAAAGGAAGCTGGAAAGCAGCACAGAGAAGAAACCTCACTGAGTAGCAGCTGGCCATCATTGTTCGGGGCAAGGGAAAAACACAAAGGGGATGGGACTGGAAACTGTCTTGCGGGTGACTGACGCTCCCAAGTGGCATTGGCAGCATCCTCTTCTTCTTCGCCACCCCCTATCTTGCGTAACTTTTTCTTCCTTCTTAAACTTCCGTTGCATGAATTTCCGGCCATGGCATTTTCATTGTTTTTGCTGCTACTTCGCCCGCGTCCGCGGCTGGCACTTTCCATTTAGCTGAAAGTTGATTCACATTCAGGGCATTTAATAAGCGCTTATTGTGCTTAAGCCTCATTGTTGTCCGTTCATAGTTATTTGTGTTGTTCGGTTAATACTTTCAGTGACTTTAATGACCGGGAACAATCAAACCCAAGCAAATGGCAAACTTGCTAAGACCAAGCCACAGGATTTGTCCGCAAATCTGGCCAAGACTAATATCTATTAGACAAGAGAGTTGCCGTTGTAATTTGTATGCTGCACATATAAAAATAAATATTTAATTTTGCATTTCCCTATAAATCAGAAAATAATTATTTAATATACTTGTCCGATTTATAAATTATAACACTCTCTGCTAGGATATAAATTTTTTTCAAGAAAATATACTGTCTAAATAAATATAAAAATAAGCTTGCCAAAATTTTCGGTTCAAACAGTCCATGAGATAGGATTTCGACGATGAACTATTCGATTTTATTGATATATATTATATTATTCATGTTTTTTGTAGCATTGGCTCGAGAAGCTCAATCTTTCTGTTAATTAGTTAATTTGCAAAGCAATCTGTTCAAAAAATTATAACCACATAAAAAGTATGGCTTGTTCTTCAGATCAGGATCAAAATAATTGTTTTAAAGTTAACCCATTTTGCGTAAACATTCGTTTTCCAGTCGCAATCTTATTTGTAGAGAACTTTTTAACGTCAGTAGCATCATTTTAATTGAAGGTGATAGTTTAAAGTCAAAGTTCTGAAAGTTAATGGTGTTTGGATTTGGATTTAAAACCTACTTAGGGCACCTCCTGGTTTGATTGTGATTAGTGTTCAATTAGTAATCATAGAGACAGACAGACAGGGCTTATTAACTTGATTAAGAACAAACATATGGAGTCGCAATCGCTTCTTTTTATTTGTTAACACACTTCTACTCTACGAGTGACTTGTTTAAACACTAGCTATATTTGCCGTGAATCTGAGGAATTTGCATCATTGATAACGGGGTGGGTTGGTCGTCTCCGATACTATTATGTGGCTTCTTGGGCAATTAGATTGGGCATTTAGCCATGAAATTTGCCAACATATGGCTTCTATCTGGCAGGAACAACAACAAACGGCCTCCGCTAACAGAACGGCTAACAGAACGGCTAACAGGGAGGCGCACTGTTACTGTTAGGTGGCCAAGTGCAACGTGGGGCTGGGGCTTGGCTCTTGTCTTGGCTTGGGTCTCTTTCGCGCGCCCTCTCTCGCTCGCTCTCTCTGTGGCCCCCAAGCAGTCGGTCGTGCGGCTTCGGCTGTCGCTTCGGCCGTCGCTTCGGCAGTGTTACAGAGCAGCGCAGAGCATCGCATCTGCGGTCTTCAGTGGTCGCAGCCAACAACCAACAGCCAACAGCACCGCGGATGCTCCACTCCGCTCCGCTTCGTTTCTTCTTGGTCCGGTCCCCACTCGACGCTCTCTTAAGCACGAGCTCTCGGTCGGTCGCTCCGCAGCTGCGTCCGTTCCGTGCGCTTTTCGAAAATAGTTACAAAATTTTCATCGAAGTGAGTGGAACGCCGCAGCGGTAAACGGAATCGGCATCGGAATCGGACTCGGATTCGGTCGCATGGACTCTTGAGCAGCCGGAGAAGCTCGCTCCGAAATCGCTGAAAACTAAAGCACAATCGCGTTCTTCGTGGAAACGCCAGCACAAAAACAGCCCACAGCACTACAAATCAAATCAAATCAAAACAACGTAAATTCCCATTTATTCATCTGCGAATGGGTACACCAAGTCCAATTCTTCAAGCCAAAAAAACGCAGTGAAACAAGAAGTGCATGCGGTTTTCCTGTTCGTGGAGCTATTGTTATTTTTAAATTGCTGACCGCAGAATATTTGTACTGCTATAAATAGACGGCAACACACAAAAAGAGATGCCGCCGAAACAAAAATAAACCAAAAGCCCAAAGGGTAAAAACTCGAAAGTGCCAAAACAAACAAGAATTTCACTTAGAAGAAGTGCGTGTTCTATAAATATACAAATACAAAACCGCAACAAAGTAGCAACTAGGAATATTTTGCAATACAACACAAATCACAACACAAAACTGCATTTTGTTGAATATTCAATCTGGAAAAGCCAAGTGTCAAAGTGTAGTGCAAAAATATTTATAAATCTCTGCCAAAACATTAACAACCGAGGAAGAGAAGAGAATTCTACTCACATTTTGTGCATTTCAAAAAGACTTTCGATTTTTAGAATACAAAACAAACAGAAAACAAAAGGGGAATCCGTTAGTTCCGCATTAAAGTGTTAAAATAAATTAAGTCTTGGATACTCCGTGAACTTAGCATTTTGGAATACTTCAACGCCATTTTGGATAACCGTGCTCGTGAATTCTGCATATATTGCCAATCGATCTGAAGAGCAGAAGGAAATAATTTCACAAAGGTTGGTAAACAACTTATGTTTGTGATCGCTGTGATTGTTGAGTAATAGATTGTGGCTGACATAAAGAAATCCATTTATTGCTGCCGCTAAATATTTATATTATGCACACGTCATTAAGCATACGACAGGTTGGCCAATGTAAGAATCTGTTTGTGAGCCACAGCAAATGGCCATGAGACTGGTGTAAACAAAGAATATCGGTTTTTTGTTTGCCTAGAAACATATAAATATACAAATGTTAAAAAAAACCCAATATTATTTTTAAAATTGAAAATTAATGCAAAAAACCGTTAATTAATTTAGTGATAACAATTTGATATTTGTTAGTTTTATGTGTAAAGTAAGCCTCTCAAGAATCTTTGGAAAGATTTAAATATTTGTTCAATAAAATATAACATTTTAAATCAAATAAAATAAAGAATATATATTTTTTATTTTATGATATAAGTTTAAATAACCTTAAAAATTTTAATATGCTTAGATTAACCGTTAAATGAAAAATGAAGAAATTCGGTGAAAATTTAAATACCATTTGTAGTAATTTTATAATTTTAAATAGCTATATTGTCGAACATTACTTTAAATTAAAAAAGTTGAAGTGCTAAGTTAAGAAGAAGAAGTCTTCCAAATTATAAATTACAAAATTGGTGTAAAAAAAGAACAATTTGAGAACAACCTTTTGCTAGAAATTTGCCCAACTGCTATTAATTGAAATAAACATTAGCAGGTAATTGAAAAAGCCCAACAGACTTTCTAGGAAAAACGAATCCATTTCAATCTGACCACTTACACCTGGACACAGTCGAGTGGCAAAAGTGAAATGTTTACAAAGAATAATACTTGAGTCTGCATACACATAAGACGAAGTACTGTAAACAAAATTACCCGAGTGCATATCTCATTACCAGACCAAGGATCATCGTCAAAACAAAAGAAAGAATTGCAAGAAAGAACAAAAAAATATAGGCAGAACAGAAAGGTGAAACTTTTCCCATTATAAACGCAAGTGTTTTCAGCACTCTTATTTTTCCCCTTCATATTTTTTTTTTTCGTTTTCCTTATAAGTAGAAGTGTCAGTCGGGGCCATGGATATGACCACTGGCAGCTGGTCAGTCACAGTTCTCGGTTCTCAGTGGCAAATCCTACTTCTCACACCGGAATCAACGTCATTCATAAAACTGAAAATGGAAAAAAATTATAAAGCGGGGGACATTTTTTACATCTGTCATAAATTTCCCTGCACTCAGACATAAATCTATTTTTTGCATTTTATTTGTTTATTTAAAAATTCTTGTGCACGGCAAAGAGAAAAGACGAAAGCCATAATTTGCAACCTGATTGATGTGACAATTCCTTAATTAATTTTTGTTGGAAATACGCCTTATATACATATGTACATATGGCTGCCATTTAATTAGCAAATCTGTTTTTGGGAGAGGTAATACATCACGGTAAATGATGTGTTGCGAGTGCAGCAGAAAAATGAGTTTATTCACATCGCAGAGTCTATCTTCTGGCTCGTTTACCTTCTCGTGGCCAGGTAATTGAACCCTAGTATTGTCCTGCCTTGCCCTTCCTCCATAAATACAGATCTATGTATAAATATACGGGTCCCAATGCTGTCACCTTTTCCCACGATTTGTCAATCAACGTTTTATTCTTACTTAACTAACCGAGACATTTTGGTAATTACTTAGAGACAGCGCCCCGAAAAAATTTAAAAAAGCAAATAATACGAACAGTTGATAAGGCTTGTGTGTTGTGTGCTTCTGTTGAGATCGAGTTCAGTGACTTGACTTTATCACTGCTTGCTGAAACTTTTTGGCTCAACATTCTTCGTTCTTCTGGCTTCTTGTTCTTTTCTGCTGATAAGAATTGTGAGGCTGAGACGACAAAGAACGCGAGTCCGAACACTGCATTTTGAACAGCCCATAAAAGAGCAAGATTCCTGGATTGGGTAATGACAAATGCTAGAATCGTTTTTTTGTGATTAAACTTTTTTTAAGAATTTATAAGTTAGTTACTCTGGAAAGCATAAGCTCTTAAACCAAACATTTGTACAGAAAAGTATATTCAATTAGTCTAAAGATGCTATGAAGTGGGATTGTATTACTAAGACAATAAATTATTTAAATTCTTAAGCTTAAATTAATAACACATTGAAAGCTTTGTAAGATAACGTATGAAATATCTGTTGTTTATCCTTTCGAGACTCCATAACTTATTTACCTGTGCTAAAATAAATATACTTATCAGACAAACTCCCCAAAGTATGCCACAAATCAAAAAAACGCTTAATTTTTCTTGGTAATAAATATTGTATTATTTATTGGCCAAGTTGATGAATATTTTGGCAAATAAATTGCGGTGATGTTGCTTTTCGATCCAAAAGAAGTCCAATACAGTCTGTGAAAAACTGCAACTCAAAATCATGCAATAGTCAAACAAATATTTCACAACCATAAACATTGTTAAAAATGCAGAATGCATTATATTTTAGCCCCACCCAATTAGCTTCGGATACTTGTGCAGTAAATAAGCCACAAAATGGAAAATATACAAGAAGCTAAAAAAAAGAACGGAGGATGAAAAGCTGGCAATGAAAGAAAATATTTCCTGCGCTATATTTTGCAGCCAACGCACATAAATAAGCTCTAAACCAAGAAGCCAAAAAGGCAACAGAATGGGCGTACCAAAACTTGGTCGCATTGTTGCTGCCACTGCTATGTTAAGGTTGGCAACGGGCCAAAAAGACATGGCCAAATGTGCGCCAGTTTTCGCTACTAGTCATCATCCAAAATTCAGCCTCCCATTATCCCTTCATCCCTACTTTTGCTCTCGGCCAATTTCTGTTGTCGGCTCGCTAATAAATAATTTTAATTGTATTTATTCTTTCAACTTTGTTGTTTTTTTATTTGGCTGCTCCACTTTGGTAATAAAAAGATTTCCATTGTTGCACTAGTTGTGCTGCGGGAAATGGCTAAAAAAAACGTGATCAACAGCAAATTGAGTTCGCCTTTATGACTTGGCCAATTTGCACAGTGTGTGTGTGTCTTATCAGGTTGCAATGACAGCATTGGGGTTGGCCAGGTTTTCCCTTACTTTTCTTTTTTTGCACTTTTTCTGTGCCGTCTGCTGGTGCCTCCTCCAATCTTTGGTCGACAAATATGTCGAGTGCTTGACTTGGGCAAACTTTGTCACTGATAAGACTGTTGAACACCAGTCTCCTGCTCATGTTCAGAACTCTTCAATTTTATGCTTCAACACTGGCGAAAAAACTTATTACTTTTAATTATACTTTTTAAATACAAACCGAAACACACTCACACACTCTGCTAATTATTATTTATAAGGTCGGATGCCCTTCGTTATACCGTATACATTATTTTCAACAAATACGATATAACCCTTTACTTCGGGTAAAGTAACTTGTCCATTAAAACCAGTTTTCAGTCGTGCTTCTGAGCCTTTAAATAAATATTATTAATATTATTAATTAAAATTTTGTCAGATACAAATTTTTTTATTTGGTTATTAAAAAAAATATTTGTTTTCTTTAAAAAAATTTTGTTTTTTAATGTATATTATAACAGCCACCAAACTAAGGGAATTTTTTTCTGTGCCGCAAAATGGACAATAACCATACGCCACGTTGCACTGAAAATGAAATGGAATGAAACGAAAGTTGTCTTGACTTTTATGTATTTTTTTTGGCGAATTGGTCACGTCTTCAATGCAGTTTTGCTACTAGAGTTGGGGGAGTGACTTACGGGGGAGGGTTCGACGGTGTGCAGTGACATTTATTGTTGGTTGTCATTGGTGTTGCTGCTGCATCAGATACAGTTGGACCCTGCCCGAGTGTCTATATCCATAGCCCATGCCCGAGTATCTATATACAAGAATCACCCACACACTGTAGCGATGAGTTTTATAGGCGCTTTTAATACTGGGCCAAGGTAGTTTTTATCTTTTTACTTTGCCATTTCATTGTTGATGTGATGGTTGTTGTTGTTGGACCGTCTGGCAGCTTTAGCCGATTTTGTTGTTGCCTTTTGTAATTGCAATTTGCAATCCTTGAACAATTTGCTCTCTTTTTTTCCGATTCTCTCATCGCCTGCTCTTTAGTTTTGCTTTAGGCTACTTAAATATATTTATTTATTTTTCCTTTGCTAGTCGCAAAAGAAAATGTACCGGAAAAATAATACGAAAAAATATCTTTTTAAAATACATAAAATCTTTATTTGTGTCAAATTTTGTTCTTTTCAATGAATTTTTCCTTTTATTTTTAAACCAAAGATTTTCTAAATCGTTATTAAACATAAAAACGAAATCAAATAACAATAATCATTTAAAATTCGATTTTCTTTCAATTTTGTTTGTTAGTTTTATGTCTGTTTTCGATTTTCCAATGACGTCTGCCAGAAATTTTCCATTGCATCGAGGCAATTGGCAGCCAAGTCAAGTCAAATGAATGCAATTGGCACACACACACAGAGCCGCGCCCGCTTACCCCCGTCGACTAGTCCCCTTACTACGCCCCTGCACTTGTATATCACTTATTCGATCAACCTTCCTTTCTTGGCTTGACTCTTTTGGTTCGTTTTTCAAACAATGCCAAGCTGTCAAAGCTATTGATTTGAGTGTGCGACTTATGTTTGCCATGTGAACGCCTTTGAACGCGCCCTCTTTTACTTTTCCGCTCCCTCTTGGCCCATCATCTCGGAATCCTTCTCTCTTGTCTGCGTGTTGCAATCAATGGGGTCTCCTTGGCGAGCGCTTTTCTTCTCCCCTTTTGTCCTCCTGGCTTTCTCCTAGTTTCGATCCTTCCTTTCACTTCTTTTTCCGCCTCTCTTCACACTTTACGCCCCTTTTTCCTGGGTTTTCTCTTCCTTTACACACTATTTTGCCCACTACACATGTGACTGCACCTAGGGGCAAAAATGCAGAGTTTGCACCAAAAAAAAAAAAAAGGAAGCAAAGGAGCGAACGTTTTCAACTGCACAAACTTTGTTGCCAAGCTTGTTTTACTTAAATTGTATTTGTACAAGGCTTGAACACTGCCACTTTTCCCCCAAACTCCCCAGGAATATTGCCTTTTTTGAGCTTCCAAAAAAGTGCTAGCTTGTAGTTTGTGCCAGCTGGTTAGTTGGTCTTAACTTTTCGCCTTTCTGCTGAACCAATTTGGAATGGAGGAGAAACATTGTTCTTGGCCATACATACCAGGAATCCAGATGCTATATGGCGCATTCAGCCAAAAAGGCAATGAACCAAAAATCTGAAGCCAATTCATTGGCCTTTGGCCTCTGTTGTGCCAGAGGGAAAATAGCAAAAAGGCGAAAGGTCATAAACAAGACTTTCTAGCTGCTGAATATATGGGCATAATCTACGGCCACGTTCTAGTTACCCTCCCATATCATTCGACTTGGCCCCGGAGGCCTTTTGTTTAGATTTATTGCTTTTTCTGTTTGTGCTCGAGTCCTCCCCCTTACTCTGAGGGTCCTTTTTAGTTGATAATTGATGAACATTGTGACTGCTGCACAGACGGACACCCCTGCACGCCCAGATTCAAAGCAAAGCTGACCAGAGATCATCCCTGAGCACACACACTTCTCGATTTGAAGCCTGTCCATATATGCATAGGAGACATGTCAATCACACTGAATCAATTATGTGAAGTACAAGCAAACAAGTCCGACACACAGCTCGAACACCAATACAAATAGACGTGGAGGCTTAGTCCAGGCAATTTAGAATCGACCTCATAGCTATTGTTTATTTGTGCAATCAATTTGCGCTCAAAAGTAGGCAATGCAAGCGCTTAAGCTTCGAATCAATAAATGAAAACCAGTATGAATAAACCATTTCATGAACAAAAATATAAATTGCAATACATTCAACTTTGATTGGAATAAATAATTACAATTTCCTCGCCAACGCATTCGCCTGCACTGAAAAATCAACAAAAATCACTCAGTTATGTCATATAATGACACAAACAATAATCAGCCGCTCCTCCCTTAATTCTCTCCCCAATTTGAACCCTTAACCCACTCAGCTGTCAACAAAGACATGGCAGGTGTAAGGGTGTGAACGTGCACACAGAAATTTATTGTTCGGGGAATGAGTGTTAAGGACAGCTTTTAACTGCTCACAGGAATAAAATCATGTGCCAAATGCCTTCGAGCGGCAACTAAAAGTCGTAAGCAACAGGAGTAACAATAGCAACAACTGCGATGAAGCTGCTTAATGATGACAGCCCAGGAAAAGGAGAAAAACTCAGCTCGAAACCAAGGACCAAATTCGTAGACACACAGAAACAAATAATCATAATAATTGATAACTTAACTGAACTTAGTAGAAAAATTAAAATTATATTGAACACTATTTTTTTAACAAATATTTTAAATATATATTCTTAAAAAGGCAGCTCCTTTTTTAAAACAAAAACGTTTGTTTATGTGGCAATAAGGAAACTTAATATATCGTTTTTTCATTAATACATGTTGTATTTAAAAATAACAAATTCTTAATAAATCTTCCTGTGAACCAATAATAATATTTTTTTGTTGTGCATAAGCTCATTGTTTCTTTTTGACTGTGTGTGTGGTGTGTGTTGAAGTTGAATGATTGCCGACGCCTGCTGCTGACAAGTGTTGCGTGTTTTGAATATGGACTTACATCTATTCAGAAAATACGTCTATACCCGCTCAAGTATGTCCTTTCGACTTGTCGCCTCATGACAAAGCCAAGCGAATTTCGAGCACTTCAAGTGCGTTGTTTGCTGGCTTATAGCGATGTTCATTGTGGCTGTCAAGGGGTTTTTGCTCGTATTGAAAGTGTCCTTCAATGAGAATATGTGTTTGACATTTTTAATACAATTTTGAACACAACATAAGATAAAATTAATTTTAAATTAATTTAAAAGCCCCAGCAATAAAAAGCCTATTTTGTTGATCTAGCTTTTAAATTGAAACACTTCAATGGATGGTAAATAAAATCCCAGAAACGACCTGAATAAAAGCAGCTGCAACTTGCTGAAATTCTTTTCTTGATTGACCCAACTTGAATGCTGGTAACTTTACCTTTTAGCTGACCTGAAAGTTTGTTAATGCCTTTTCCCGAATGGCGATAGAGTCCCGACTTTACAAACTGCTGCAGCTGCTGCTTAGCTTTACTTTAATTTTTAGCTGCCGTGTAAAAAAGAGCAAAGAATGAAACTTTACCGTCAGGGCTTTTGTGCCACTTTTCATGCTGCATTGCAAATTTTTTCAATGTTGCGAGAGCAGATTATGGGGTGGCGAAAACTTTATAACACTCATTTCATTCAAAGTTTGCCGGCACGGATCAAAGTTGTGGACAAGTGGGAGGATTTACTGCAGTACTTGAAAGGGTCATTCAATGGTTCATCAATCATGCCACGCCCTCTAATCAAAGCATGAAATGTCGAACAGGGAGTTCAGTTCAGGTTATGCCAGCCATAGGCTACCCCCTCTATACATATGTCTGGTTAGGCCTCCTAAAAGGCTGCAGCAATTTCGTTGATTAGCCTTGTGTCTGCGGAAAGTTTCCTCCCTAACATCCCACCTTCCCTCTGCCCATTTTGCTGTTTGTTATGGCTAAACATAAAAACTAAACGTTAACGCAAACGCACACAAACATATGTATGTTATGTAATTGATACGGAATGACAAGGAGTCAGAGAGAGAGAGTAAAAAAGGACATGCCTCAACAGTTTGCACAGTTTTTGCCTTTATGTTCAGGTGTTCTTTTGTTAGGGAATGGAATAATTTGGAAAATGGAACAGCTGATATCATAGGGGGAAAATAGTAGAAATTAAATTCTAAAATGTTAATTTTCCATCTATAAATATTTTAAAATTATTTTTCCTTTTACTAAAATTTGGAGAAGAAATACTTAACAATAAGGATTTATTTATTGTTTAATTACATTTTTTGCTTAGTTTTTTTTTTATTACAATCTCATAGTCACATTAAGTGCTTATAGTGCATTTTCTTGTTCGACTCTTACCGATTTTTATGGGTGACGCTTGGTTTTTATTGCTGCTTGGCTTCGCTCAAGGTAACAGGCGATGCATGAATGTGAGTATTCACACCACAGAAAACTCCCATTGCCACCCAAACACATCCAGCCTTCCCATCCCAAACCTTAGTCATTCCTCAGATGGCGGCCAACACCCAACACAGCATCATTTGGGTCTGGCTTTATTCCCATTTCCCCGCAGCGCATTTTGGCACAGGTGCCCGTAGATATATGGGCTTGAGGTTGGCCCACAGGCACGCCAGAGTGGGTGGTGTTGGCACGGGCCAAAGTCGTTTTCGGCTTAGGTCGGTGCTGATATATGTGTATGGCCACGTGGCAATCGCCAGATCCCCATGGCATATCTCCCCCACGTTTATTTGGCATGAGCCACATTTGAGTTTCTAATCAAGGTAATTTTATGTTTGCCAAGCTCGACTAATGCCAAAATTACATTTTTAGTCACCCCGCCACCGTTCTTTCCGCTTTTCTTTGCCATTTCCCGGCTCTTCCCACACAAAGTGGTTTTTTGGCCACCACGGCGTATGCGTGATAAATGCAAGCCAACATTTGGCTTATCCTTAATGCTCATGTGAGTGGGTGTCTGTGTGAGTGTGGAATTGTGGAAATGTGGCTGCGACTGTGCAAAGTAGCCATTCTCTTTGAGCTGCTAATTAGGCCAGCATTGTGAAGGGAAAGCCGGCAAAACAACAGCAGCCAATTGTATGCCAAGACAAGCCATTAACATTAGCGGTGCGCCTGGGAGAGTAAGGAAAACGAGTGTGCGGATAGGGGAGGAGCCAAAAAATAGGTCACTTAAAGTCCATATATTTAGCATTGATCTGCTGCCCAACACCAGTTTAAACGTGACTTGAAAGTCCATTTCAATCCTGTGAGAAACTGCAGTGCGAGTTTTACTAAAAAAAAGGATGTTTTAAAAGTTAGCGCAAACAAAAAACAATACCATTTGTTAAGACTTATTAACTTGACAAAACCAACCATTTCAACCCTTTATACCATTGCTCCAACCGACAGTTGTCAGTTAAACTTACTGAAAAGCAACTATTTTGTTTGCCGTGGCCACTTATAAAAAAGTTAAGCTGTCAGCACTTCACAATTTCATGAAACGACGCTAAATTTATAGCCATCTTTATGTCACGAAGAGATTTCGTTAAGTGGCCATCACAGAAACACATTTAATAATAAATTCTTTGAGATGCAATTCAATTTAATGCAAAAAGGATATTCATTCTTAATTTTCATTAGCCCTGAATTGTGTGCTATGTCGAATATCGTACGGCATAATGAAGTGTCAATGTAAGAGTGCACGACCCACTTGACAACTAAATCCCGATTCAAATTGATGCATCCAATCAACCATTTCGCCAACCATCCATCAGTCAATCACTCAATCAGTCAAGCGACCAATTGCGCCTGCGTTTAGGGTCAATAAAGGAGCGCTTGTCAACGATGAAAGCTGCAATCAGAGGGTGTTGGAAAATTCGCGCATGTGTGTTAGTGTAGGAACATCGATGAAAGAGTGTGAGTGTGGTGTGTTATGCATCACTTAATGCATCAGTGAGCAAACGATATCTGGGCCATTGGCGCTAAGTGTTTAGAACATTTTCATTTCAAGCCTTCAAGCGGTTCACTTGGCATAAATATATGTTTAAATTCCAATCTTATCTACAAATTATTTTAATAAAAGTAATATTTATTGTTTTGATATAGTACAATAATGACAAAAATGATTGTTCATAAATAATTCAAAAAAAGTTCTTTAAATTGTATATTAGAAAAAAAAGTTTCATATATTTGAAGGCTTGTCTTTAATTTATATATTAATAAAAAATTATTCCTAAATTAGTACTAAAATTTATAATCACCATATTCTTTTTTATTTTCTTTGCAGTTGACATGTTCAAAGCCAACGTGGAACGCTCATTTTGCATATTGGTAAGTGGTAATTTTCGTGCCCCAAATACATTGTAGTTATGGTCTGCTTAAAAGCTCATTAAAAATTGAATGCATATGTACGCAAATTTCAAGTTATTATTGCGGTTCGCAGGAGGGCAGGAAGGCTTAACCCAGAAAAGCAGCTGAAATTTAAGCTAATCAAAATTACATATTGACACCAAAAGGATGATAAAATTAGAGGTGTAAAAACGGGATATATGGACGAGGAAAATCCAGAGGACTGAACAAATACCGAATGAAGAAAAGAGAATCCCATTTAAATGGTGATGATGGCAGCTTGCAAAGCATTTTCCTTTCGCAATATACAAAATATAAAAGCTTTGTATATGTGTTTCCATCTGTACAAGTGTCAGTGAAGCAATTTCCCAGTTTTAGCTTTGAATATTTGACAAAAGTTCAACTAATTGACAGGCTCAACTTTCTGGAAATCCTTTTTCTGACCCACTCATTCACATTAATCATATGCAATGTGTTACAGGCCAGCACACATTGTGTTATTATAGGCTCTAAAAGAAATTCTGGCCAGCACATGAAAATTTCATTAAATTTTAAGCTTGTTATTGTCAGTCTGTCTCGCAGTCTGTTATGGGTCGGAATATGGCTTGGGTTCCGAGTTTCTGTTGTTGTTGCGATGACAAACGCCCCGAAAAGCTGTCATTAGTTGAAATCACATGTCACTGGCAGGGCGAAAGTGACCCGAGCGTGCTCGTCATAGGCATCCCAAAGAAAAGCAAAGCTAAAAGGGGTCAAAAGGTCTCTCTGGGGAAAGGTTAGTCGACCTCTTCGGGCAAGAAGCTGTGAAAGTTTTATGTGACACCTCGGTTGGGTGACCCTTTCGTGTTTAGGCTTACAAACTTTTTTTTGTTTTTCGAAATTTCTTAGGTCAATAACTTGAAAAAAAATTTATATTTTTTATTATTAAACTAATAACAAAAATACTTTTATTAACACGATTTCTTCGCTTTAAAATACAATGTTTATTTAATTAAATCCTAAATATATTCTCTGTATTAAAGCCAAAATCTCCTTTGCAAATGCAATTTTCTACGCCTATGAACCCGTGTCAAGAGTGAATACTGTGTGTCTGTGTGGTGAGCTGGCTGTGTTTGAGAGTGTTGTATTTGTGTGTGTTTGCAGGCATTTGTTGTTGTTGGGTACTTAAATGTTTGCCTACGTGTCAGTCTTGTCATTGGCAGTTGCTCTCTCGCTCGAACAGGATGCTGCTTTTATGACAGTTCATTGATATTCATTTGTGTGTGTACCGCTATATAGAAAAATCCTTGGCCTGAGAAACGTCGCCTTTGGACTTCATATCAAATTTGGTTATGGCGAGGCAAGCGACGGCTGAAAAATTCAATTAAAAATCATGAAAAGCAGATGGGTAGAAAACAAAGCCTTGAAGGGACCGCAAATCGGCTTATGGCCATAAAGCGAGTTCCAAACGAAACTCATTCAAAAGTGAAGTTTGATTTCCTGCATGCGACTCTTCTTTATTTCCTTTTCCTTGCTTACTTTGCTGCGCCCGGGAGAAATATTGGAGAAATGCTGGCAATTTCCAAGTGCTCAGTCAACTCTGTCTCGGCCTCGTCCGTTTCCCCTTTATTCATTCCCTTTCTTGCTCACTGTCTGTCGCTTTATTTCCCTGCCTCAATCAATATGGCTTAGGCAGACTCGTTATAAATTCATGTCCGGCGTTTTTCTATATTTTTTTCCTGTGAGCCCCAGCATGAATATGAATGAACAACTGAATGTGAGTGTATACAAGTCCGCTACAAATAATGCCACGAAATAAGATTATCTTTTATCTTTATATGTTGTTAGTCCTTAAACAGTAAAGAATGCGAGTAAGGTCAAATTAGCATTTTAAGGAAGTATATTTTAGCTATCTTAATCGTGTTCAAAATTAAAATAATAAAACAATTTAGTAGCTGCCATAATTTTTCTAAGCCAATTGAAATAATACTACTATTTTGACCATAACTGTATATAACCATATAACCCAGTCATATATCTTGTGACAGTATTTTTTCCCAGCTTTCCCTTTTGAGCTGCCCTTTTTCTGTTTGACTTTTTGTACGCCAATTGAACTATCTAAAAAAAAACTCTTTTTTCATGCCTCTTCCTTGTTGTCTTTTGTGGGGAAATTCCTTTTCAAAATCCATTTCAAAATCCCCCGTCAGGATAGAAAAGTTCAAGTGTCGACAAACTTTAGCTTCAAAACCAAAGCAAACGAAATCTCATCAATTTTTCAATGCTCACCTTGAGGAAAAGGAAAACCAAAACAACAGCAACAAAAATTAGGAAAGCGAAGGGCGAAGCGGAAATTTCATGAGGTTAAAGCAGAGCAAAAAGTGGGTGTATACGCCAGCACACCCCCAAAAGACCATTGATATACGTCTTCTAGGCCGTGAGCAGACAGTGAGACACTTAATCCGCACGTTTACACCTCAACGCACACAACAAATGGGCGGGGGCGTGTCCCGGCGGCTGTATTACCTTCGCCTTGGTATTCACCATAATATTTGTGTATACTACTTAATAATTAACTGGAGAAGGGGGCGGGAAAACTTTGAGGCTTTCGCAACAAAAGACTCAAAGACGGCTTAATAAGGATGTGGCAATTGAAGGTCACGAAGTGGGCGCAAACGGGGTTGACACCGAAGCTAAACGTAGATTTCGATTTTCCATTTTCCCAGCAGATTCATTGCAGGTTCCATGAAAATCTATTGATCTATGCAATTAATTAAGCTGTAAAAATAATATATATTATAATTCAGTTAAGATGTTTACAGAAACTGCGCCACCAGCGATCAAAGCATTTGTTTCCCCAAATCTTATCTCTTTAACCTCCCAAGCAATTTAAATAATTTTAAGAACTTGACTTCCGACTAACATGATCCTTAATCAAACCATTAACAAATTAAACCGCATCTCCACTTTGAAGAAAGAACTGAATATGTTCAACTAATCAAACCAAAATAAAGAAATCCTCCCAAAAAGAATACCTTCAAACTTAAAATGTTTTCGCAAGTAAACTTTCCTTATTTGTTCAGCTCCCTAAGCGATTCCAGAGATATTTGCTCCAATTTTCTTGCGGGTGTCGCTTTCTTTTTCCTCGCATCAGCAATAAAGTGGGGCGAAAAGTTAGATGATTACAACCAAAATGCGGCGTTGCTTTAATTGCACTTGAACCCCAACCTTCGACTCCGACCAAACCCCACTTATCCCCCCAATCACCTCAGTTCAAGTTAATTTGCTCGGAGCCTGGCTCAATGGTGTTCCACTTGCTCATTAATTACAGCTTAGTCCGACCCTTAATGGTTTACCTGCAGATGCTGTTGGTGTTCTTGCAAATATATTCAGTTGTTGATTGTGTTACACTAATCGAAATAAAACCTAATTTAAATTTAATCTAATTATATGTTATAATAATACTAATATATAATTTATATATATATATATATGTAAATTAAATAAATTAATCTTTTTTTCTTCATTCCTGGCACTTTCACTTTCACCGCCTTTTCTACCTTTCCCTTTTGCGGCAGGTTGTGCTGCGGCTCTTTGGAAAAGGACTTTTCTTTGGTGTGGCTTTTTCCCGGCTATTTACTCGATGTTTTTTTACCTTTCGCTGGCAGCCGCTTCTTATTAATGCTTTGTAATCAAATACACTCTTACTTATCTCTTCTCATTCCCGTTCCATGAAATTTTTCGTTGATTATTTAGAGCTTTGCGTACTATTTGATGACCGCACGCCCTTTCCCCCTTCTCGCTTCGCATTTAATTAAGCAAATAGCAAAAAAAGTTGGTTTTTTTTGCGGGATTTCCCTTTTACGATTCCGGGGATTTTCAGGGGGTGGATGGTGCTAACTTGTTGCTCACTCTGTAAGCCTTTTTTGGTATCTATTCCTGCGGCGGTCGCTTTGATCAAATACTAATAAGCAAAGTCTGGAAAACAAAACAATTTGAAATTAATCAAATAAATATCTTTTTCGCATTTTTTAAATTTAAAAAAGCGAGATATATTACATTTTTCTTTTTTGGCACTTAGACAGCATTTTGAACTTTTTTTTAGCATTGGCATTGATTTCTTTCGTGCACACATGTGTGTGAACCGGGACCTCCTGCAACAACTTGTCGCCGTTCAACTGCAAATTTGCACGGCTGTCGCCCAGAGGAGCAGACGGAGAAGGACAGCTTACTTGCACACGTTTGCCAGCAGGAATTTAATAAGAAAAAATGCTGCCAGCAACGTGACAGAAGTGGAAATAGGGAAAATCAAGAAAATTGAAGGGGAATTCCTCTTAAAGCAACTGTCAGACGAATAACCGCAAATGCAGTTTAATATTAATCAAATTGCAGAGCAATTAACCAGCAAAAAGGAATCAGAAAGTGCGGTGGTAATACAGGAGATGCCGCAATTAATAATGAATAACACGCAAAACAAGGGACCTGGACGGGGAGACTTACTTCAGCCAAAATGTCAAGACTGCAACTACAAACAAGGTTGCCACTGGCGAAGACAACTCAATTAACCTCGACCTTCTCCTTACAACAACACCAATAATAACGATGACAACTTGCTGACGTCAGGCAACTGCAGCCGTCTCTCTATCTCTGTCCCCCAGCCATCTCACTTGCTCGCTCGCGTCGCAGCTTTTTAGTTTTTCAATGCCGAACGGTGGACATCGTGGGCAAGTCGTCGCTTTAATTTGAATTCCAGTTGACCATCGCCAATAGCGCAATAAAATGCATGAACTGAACCGAAAAAATAGGGTGTAAAACTATGGTAAGGACATCATCACAAATGACAATCTAACTGCTGTTCAATTTGGCTAAAAATACTTGCATTTGATATTTTTTATAAATTAACTTATTTAAAAATGTATAAATAATAATTGTATTGTGACAAAAAAAAATTGTTTTATGACCAACTACTGATTTATTTATTTAAATATAAAAAAAATAAATAAATGTGGAAATAGCGTAATAAATGCGTGTTGGCACATTACGAATTTTGCGCATGCGCATGCGCGCGGTTCCAAAACCGAAACAGCAAAGCCGGTAACCCCCTCCATCAGCGCCTACGATCGTCACGCTGCGTTTGCCGGCATTAAGCCAAACCTGTTTGTCAGCCCCTCGCAATGTTGCACAAGTGTCGACTGCTGCTGCTGCTGCTGCTGCTGCTGCTGCAGCTGATGTTTGTTGCCATTGCAGTTTCAGTTTCAAGAACCGGGTCAAGGTTGCTGCAGCGCCTCGGCGATCACAGCCAGTGGCAAAGTCAACGCCGGCAGAGCAGCGCAGCTTTCGCCTTGTGCGCTTTGCATTGAAAGTCAAGTTCGCGCACACATGTGTTTGGTTGACATTGGCCAACGACAGCGGCAACAACAACCATCTGGCCTGATGGCGATCATGAGGAGATCAGCAGTAAAAACATGCAACATGTTAGCTCCAATTTCGTAGACTTTATCTATTAAAAGTAGGAGATCTTTTGATAATAGTTGCAATACTCCCTTTAAAAGCTACAACAGAATCTGCAAAACTGTAGTTGTGGACAGAAACATTTGTATTTGTCAGAACAATTTTTTAATATGTTTTAATCTGATGCGCTTAATGGTAGTATTAAAGAATCCCGTTTTGGAATTATGCAAAAACATATGAGTTAATTGCATCAGCTGCCTCAACAGCTGTTTTTGTTTAATACGACACATCGAACTCTTTTCACATTAATAGCTTTCAGTGAACTCGCTTATATTACCAATTCAATTCGATGCCATGTGCAAAAAACAATCAAGCAGTATATATGGATGCAACCTGACACTGGGCAAAATTAAATTAATTGCGAGATACAATAATTAATAATGTTTTAATGAAATTGTCAAGCGAGGAGCGGAAAATTAAAAAAAATGGCAATAAAATAAATAAATCCAGCTAAAGAAAAGAGGACTTGTGGAGGGAGTTTTCCATCAGCTACAGGCAGCAATTTAATTTTGTTTGTGGCAACATTCTCTCACTGATTAATGGCTAGCCACGCACAGGAGACCTCCATTCCCTATTCCCCACCCCTTTCAAGGCCACTCAATCTGCTCCTGGCTGGAAAAACTCGAGCGCAATTTAAGCGAAATGCTATTAATTTTCATAAGTAAATGAAAATTAATGTACGTAGCTGCCATCCGCCCTCTTCATCCCTTATATGGAGAGCCTATATATGCGTGTTTGTGTAGTTTAGTTATAAAAGCCTTGGCAAGTAAAACTTTTCAGTGAATGGCACTTGAGGTGCAAGTGTTTGGCCACCCATTTCTGCCTAGATCGGTGGGCATTCCATGAAGTAATTTCAGATATTGTTCCCATAATCTATATAGGTTCGTTCCATTGTCAACAAGCTAGTGCTGTCATTCAGCAAACAGTTCTCAAAGTCATCGAGTGCCAGACCATAACACACTAAAGCAGAATTTATTTATACTATGTAGACTCTGTTTATTTAGATGCACCAGAGACCCTGAAAACTGCAGCAACTGAGATAGCAACATGCTGTCAGAGAGAGATGGGTAGAGAGCGGGCAAGGAGACAGAGTGTGAGATAGCATTGAGCAACTTGGCAGCCTCGATTGTGCACTCATCATCAGTAGTTGCTGTTTCTGCTGCTGATTTTGCTGTTCCAACGGCAACCGCAATGCCAAGCAACGACTCAAATGACTCAAGAAGTCGCTTTTGATAATAGCTAGAACAATTGCCATGGATTTTCCATACACTTTCGAAAGCAGGACAACCAACATAGTTATTGGTTACTTTTGAGACAAAAATTGTAATACTCTTTGACATTAACTCTAAAAGAATTCAGCTAAAAAGAAAATTAAGTTGGTAAGAATCTTAGTCCTCCAGTAATAGCAAATTAACGTTATATTATTTACTTTTTTTTTAATTTTTCAATTACAATTATAGAAATTTAGTTCATCATTAATTTTCAAGCATTTTGAATCATTTATAATATTGTTATTGATTCAGGCCTCCGCAGTTAAGAATAAATTCTGAATCACGCTTAAACCACAAAAGTGGATGCTAAAGTGGTTCACTCTTGGTGTTGTATTTATTATCTTTGTTGTTGTCGCTCTTTGTGGCTGAGAAAATCAATTGCCACAAGGCTAGACTTTGGCTCAAGTCACCTCCTGCCTGCTGCCTTCTGCCCCTTGCACGCAACGCTGCTGCAGAGCCAAAACGTTTTTTGCTGGTGATCTTGAACCAATTGCAAATTGCTAAAACGCAGCCAAAGCAACAACAGTCGTTGTCACGGCCAGCTACAGATACAGAAAATGGATTGAGCTACATTTATAGGTATGCCATGGCATTGACTGGCATCAATAAATTAGAATTGTTCTCTCAGCGCGCTCTTCTCGATTATTCGGCACTCTCTTCCCCTGCGAAACGGGGCGTATGCGTGATAAACTTGAACTTGTGCGTTCTCATTGCGAATCGTTGTGTGAACCGTGTTCTGTCAGCGATATATTTCACTTATCCATGCCATGTATGTAGTGTGCCTAGTCATATTTGCACATTGCGCATACGCAGCGTTGACCTCGCCTCGGACAATGCAACTAATTAGCGATTGCAGGCAGATAAACAACCAAGTGTGTGTCTGCGGACAATTGTTTGATTATCAATTAGTTTCGTACAGGCCCAAGTGGCTGACCTTAGCAGGCAGATAGCTTTAGATAGCCGTGGTGTCGGTGTCTCAAACCCCCTTCCCCACTCTTTATTTGCCTCTAAAACGCTTCTATCCCTGCCTGGAACAAATGAAACCAATGCCAAATGCTAAATATCTCACAACCCAAAGTCATTGAAATTTGCATTTGCTTTTTTTCTCTTGCAAAAACGTATCTCTCCCTCTCTTTGTGTGGTTTTTTCTCTTATTTTATGGGGAAAGAGCCGCAAAGGTTTGCTCATCATTATAAATGTGTCATCAGTTGAGTGGTTGATCACGCTCTTAATCGGAGCAGTTTTTTAAAGTGCAGCAAAAATAACAAGTTTTTATCCCAACTTAGTACACTTTGTGTAATTATTATTTTAATAAAAGCAAAAAAAACATTCAAAATTTCCATTTAAATAATCACACATTATTAATGCTTTATTTTTAAAAGGGTGGCAAGGGCTGTGGCAAAGTGAAACAATCTTTTTTTAACGCATGCAAATGATTTGTTGCGCCCTGAGACATTATTTAAAAGCGGCACATAAATTTGGACAAATCAAAAACGATGCATGTATTTTTTTTGATTCTTTCTGTGAAATAATTGAAATTTATGGGAGTTTTGTGGCCTATCCACGCGTGGCATCGGCATAGCCATCGACCCATAAATTTTTAACCACACTCTACTCGCCTGCCTCGAAGAATATTTAATAAACAAAACTTGCGCTAATCGTTAAATTATGATTAATGTGCCGACAACAAACAATAAACTTTCCCGTCCAAGAACACCAAAAACGTGCTCGGTATATAGCGCGGGCGACAGCTTCGGACGTGCCAACAAAATCCCAGACAAAAGACCAAAGACCAAAGGCCCAAGATGGAACGAAATCCAGACCCCAAGAGTTGAGTCCTTGAAGCCGAGTCGTGTGAGCTAAAATATGCGCCGCCATGAACTCTGCACGGCAACAACATGAAAACTTGGCAGACATTACGTGATAATATGTGACGAAGCGAGTAATTAGGAGGGCTGTGTGAAATAGAAAGACACCAAAGTTGATGATTAAGTCGGGAGTAGCCATATCGTACTTGCTGGAAGCCAATAAAATTATGAAGTGTTTGATAGTTTATTGAAGGCTTATCCATAAAAATCTGCATTATATGTCTTTAAAACAAATTGAATACAAAACTAGTTTGATTTAACACGTTATCAAATAATAAAAACTTAAATAAGAAGACAATAAAAATCTGTTAAGCATAAATTATTATTTTCTTTTAAATTGCAAATGTTATGGCAATAAGTTGCCACACTACTTATGATTATTAATTATTCTTGAGTTAAAATTTGCTTTGGATTTGCTAAGTAAGTAGACCAACTTTCTCGCTACTTTATTCCGCAGAATAAAACCGTTTGCAATCTGCGACACCACTGCATAATTTTGATCTGGCCTTGGTCTTGTTTTCTCCCCAATTCATTGGCCATGTCACCGTCTGGGCCAAGTTGCCTTTACGCCACGCCGCTTTTGCATAATTGAAGACAGCCTTTGCTGCTCCTACTGCCGCTGCTGCTCCTGTGTTTTTTTTTAGAGCCAATGGCGTATTTTAGCTTAGCTTAGCTCAGCTCTGAACTTGCCTAGACCGAAGTCAGCTTATTAAATATTAAAAGCCCAACTGGGGACCGCTAAATCCTGCGGCTGTCAAGGTGCCGCAAGAACTCAACTCAAAAGCCCCTCACACATCCTGCAAAGCTGGGTGGCAAAGCAGGCAGCTGGGGCAGGTGTGTTGCTGCCAACTGCCACCTGCCACCTGCAGCCGAATTCAATTTCTTGTCGTCCGCTTAGTGCCGCTACCATCTTGTCAAAGCCAAAACTCAGTTGCAACTCTGTAGAAAATAGGAAAACGAAAAAAACCCCGGAGAAAACCATGGCAGAAAAGAGTGGAAAGTGGAAGAAAAAATCAACTACTAAAAGTATTATTATTGTTGGTTGCACCTGGAGGTGGTTTACTTTGTCACGGATATGTTTTCTTTAGACTTACCATGTCAGACCCGACTCTATATATCCCTATGAGTGTGTGTGTGTGCTTTCCCCAAGTGTGTGTGTTGAAACATGC